AACTTGTCCTGTACCATGCAGCAAACAATGTTCAACATGTATAATATGGGTAAATGTACTTGTACAGCCCTGCAAACAGTTTGTTATACCATATTTATGGTTACATCTTGCCGCTCCCAAACCCAAGACATTCATGAAATACTTGTGGCTTTACTATGTGAACACAATATTTTTACAATATATGTTAAATCACATAGAACAAACAAGTAGTTTATTCACCCCATCCAGCTCATTCCTCCCTCGAAACCTACACGCCTTGTAACTTCTATCATGACATCTAATTTTTCAAAAGAACTAGTCTCCACTGCTCTCCAAAGAAGCCATTCCAGTTAGTCAAGAGACTTGTGCATCCTGACTTTGGCTGCAAATTTGCCCTTTACCAATTTGTCACAATGTTCACTTCCACACAGATGTGATAAGCTTTCCTTGGTCCACTAAGCATCCTGTGCATCTCTAGAAGGCACCTCATTGTTTAAGGAAATTTAAGCACTGGAGACTACTTCAGCCCTCCAGTCCAGCGCAGTTGCTATGTTGACAACAGGCCTCTCTAACCACATTACTCCATTCTTTCCTCATGTCCTTTTAATATATTCTTTATGTTTGCCCAATTACCACGTGCATGATGCTACTGACCAAGCTTCAATGTGGTAATGGGTTCCAGATTCCAATAACTCTTGGTGTTCAGAAAAAAATTGTCTCGTTCCTTCTTTGTACTTCCAGCACTAAGTTACAAATCAGTATAAAAAGTTCTTCATGATACATACCCATCCAAGCTTCTCCATAATTTTCTACTCTGTATTTCTAATTGACATTCTTTGCTCCAGTAAACAGCCTGTCTTTCAAGTTTCTTGTAACTAATCCTCCATGGCTTCCCTATCTCTGATGTCCTCCAATCTTTCAACCCTCAAAGATCCATCTCTGCGCTCTTCCAATTATGGCTTCTTACACATCCCTGATTTTCATCCCTCCACCATTGATGCCTTCAGCTGTCAAGACCCTAAACTCAGGAATGTCCTCTGAAAACTCTCCAAATCTTTTGCTTCCTTTAAACACTCCTTAGAAACATATCTCTTCACTAAGCTCTCCATCATCTAACTGACATATCCTTATGTGGCATACAAATTTTGCTTTGTATAGCTTATGTGAAGAGACTTAGGATGTATTTTTATTACACTAAAGGCACTATATAATTATTTTTAAAAAGCAATCCTTTGCAGAAAAGGTGGCTTATTTGTTCTTCCATTGTAAAGGTGATTGAAAACTTCAGTTTCACTCAGTACTTCTTTCTAAAAAGTCACATGGCTCAACTGAGATTGAAGATAGTTTGTGTGAATAGCCAGCATCCTACGAAGTATTTTTTTAATTCAATTATGGGATGTGGGTATTGCTGGCCGGCCAGCATTTCTTGCCTATCCCTAGTTGCCCTTGAGAAGGTGGTGATGAGCTGCCTTCTTGAACCTCTGCAGTCCTCCTGCTGTGGGTTGACCCATAATGCTATTAGGGAGGGAATTCCAGGATTTTGACCCAGCGATAGTGAAGGAACGACGATATATTTCCAAGTCAGGATGGTGAGTGACTTAGAGAGGAACTTGGAGGTGGTGGTGTTCCCATATGTCTGATGCCCTTGTCCTTCTAGATGGAAGTGGTCGTGGGTTTGGAAGGTGCTGTCTGAGGATCTTTGGTGAACTTCCACAGTGCATCTTGTAGATAGTACACACTGCTGCTACTGAGCGTCAGCGGTGAATGCTTGTGAATGCTTGTGATGTAGTCCCAATCAAGCGGGCTGCTTTGTTCTGGATGATGTCAAGCTTCTTCAGTGTTGTTGGGGCTGCACTCATCCAGGCAAGTGGGGAGTATTCCATCACACTCGCAACTTGTGCCTTGTAGATGGCGGTCAGGCTTTGAGGAGTCAGGAGGTGAGTTACTCGCCGCAGTATTCCTGGCTTCTGGCCTGCTCTTGTAGCCACTGTTTGTGGTGAGTCCAGCTGAGTTTCTGGTCAATGGTAACTCCCAGGATGTTGATAGTGGGGGATTCAGTGATGGTAACATCATTGAATGTCAAGGGACGGTGGTTGGATTGTCTCTTATTGGTGATGGTCATAACCTGGCATTTGTGTGGCGCGAATATCACTTGCTACTTGTCAGCCCAAGCCTGGATATTGTCCAGATCTTGTGGCTTATGAACATGGACTGCTTCAGTATCTGAGGAGTCACAAATGGTGCTGAACATTGTGCAATTATCAGCGAACATCCCCACTTCTGACCTTATGATGGAAGGAAGGTCATTGATGAAGCAGCTGAAGATGGTTGGGCTGAGGACACTACCCTGAGGAACTCTTGCAGAGATGTCCTGGAGCTGAGACGATTGACATCCCACAACCACATCCCACAACCACAACCATCTTCCTACATGTCAGGTACGACTTCAACCACCAGAGAATTTGCCCCCTGATACCCATTGATTCCAGTTTTGCTAGGGCTCCTTGATGCCACACTCAGTCGAACGCAGCCTTGATATCAAGGGCTGTCACTTTCACCTCACCTCTGGAATTCAGGTCTTTTGTCCATGTTTGAACCAAGGATGGAATGAGATCAGGAGCTGAGTGGCCCTGGTGGAACCCAAACTGGGCGTCACTGAGCAGGTTATTTCTGAGCAGGTGCTGCTTGAAAGCACTGTTACTGACACATTCCATCACTTTATTGATGATCGAGAGTAGGCTGATGGGAAGGTAATTGACCCGGTTGGATTTGTCCTGCTTTTTGTTTATAGGACATACTTGGGCAATTTTCCACATTGTCGGGTAGATACCAGTGTTGTAACTGTACTGGAATAGCTTAGCTAGGGGAGCTGCAAGTTCTGGAGCACAAGTCTTCAGTACTATTGCTGGAATGTTGTCAGGGCCCGTAGCCTTTGCAGTATCCAGTGTCTCCAATCGTTTCTTGATATCACATGGAATGAACTGAATTGGCTGAAGACTGGTATCTATATTGCTGGGGACCACTGGAGGAGGCCGTGATGGATCATCCACTTGGCACTTTGGCTGAAGATTGCTGCGAATGTTTCAGCCTCATCTTTTGCACTGATGTGTTAGGCCCTTCCATTATGGAGGAGGGGGATATTTGTGGAGCCTCCTCCTCCAATGAGTTGTCTAACTGTCCACCACCATTCACGACTGGATGTGGCAGGACTGCAGAGCTTAGATCTGATCCGTTGGAGGTTGTGGGATCGCTTAGCTCTGTCTATCACTTGCTGCTTTCGCTGTTTGGCGTGCAAGTAGTCCTGTTTGGTGGCTTCACCAAGTTGATACCTCATCTTCAGGTATGCCTGGTGCTGCTCCTGGCATGCCCTCCTGCACTCTTCATTGAACCAGGGTTGATCCCCTGGCTTAATGGTAATGGTTGAGTGGAGGATATGCCAGGCCATGAGGTTACAGATTGTTGTGGAGTACAATTCTGCTGCTGTTGATGGCCCACACCGCCTCATGGATCCCTAGTCTTGAGTTGCTAGATCTATGTGAAGTCTGTCGCATTTCGCATGGTGATAGTGCCACACAACACGATGGAGGTTGTTCTCAATGTGAGGGCGGGGCTTTAACTCCACAAGGACTGTGCGATGGTCACTCTTACCGATACTGTCATGGGCAGATGCAACTGCAGCTGGCAGATTAGTAAGGATGAGGTCAAGTATGTTTATCCCTCTTGTTGGTTCCCTCACCACCTGCCGTAGACCCAATCTAGCAGCTATGTCCTTTAGGACCCAACCAGCTCCATCAGTAGTATGCCGACGAGCCACTGTTGGTGGTGGACATTGAAATCCCCCACCCAGAGTACAATTTGTGCTCTTGCTGTTGTTCAACATGGAGGATTACTGATTCATCAGCTGAGGTAGAATGGTGTGTGGTAATCAGCAGGAGCTTTCCTTGCCCATGTTTAACCTGAAGCCATGAGACTTCATGGGGTCCGGAGTCTATGTTGAGGACTCCTAGAGCAACATTCTCCCGGCTGTATACCAGTGTGCCACCACCTCTGCTGGGTCTGTCCTGCTGGTGAGACAGGACATATCCAGGGATGGTGATGGTGGTGTCTAGGACATTGTCTGTCTATAAGGTATGATTCTGTGAGTATGACTATGTCAGGCTGTTGCTTAATGTGCTGCAGTGAACCTTGTTCCCACCAACAGCAACTAAAGGTTTAATTTTAGATGCATTACTCATGCGCTGATGATCTGGCTCTCTCCTTCACTATCTGAGTAGTTATAGCTGCAGGTAAAATACTCATACAATCTGCTGTGTTTTCTCATTTAAGGAGAAGGCCATAAAGGCTAATGAGACAGCTAATCTGGGTGGCTATACATGCTACAACAAGTAAAGATGAAACTGTATATATTTTAGTGTCAGAGGACTAGTTCCTTGTAGATTAACAAATAAACACAGATTACAGGCCAGTAACACAATGAAACCAATCAAGTGATATTCTAAACAACAGAAGCGTGACTCCCGCTATTCACCAAGATCCAAGATAATGTGCTCAGCAGCTCAAGCAGCATCTGTGGCATTATAGAGTTGGCTTAGCTTTCGAGGTCAGACGAGATCGGGCGTTTTCAGACTAGTATGGCCGTAATATTTCATTAAGACATTCTGATGAAACTGAATTGCTAACAATGTTTCTGCCGCAACAGATCTACTCGTTTTGCTAAAGATTTGCAGTGTTATCTATTTTTAAGTACAATTTTCAGCAAGGAATTTATGAGCATTTTCTGTTTTAATTTCAGGTTTCCAATATCTACAGTATTTTGCTTTAGTTCAAGATTATGCGCCCATAATGCCATCTTAACCAGAACACTTTAGAGTAATTTTTTGGCGAAGGGCCATCTCTACTGTACTGTATTACTTAGTATCAGCAGAATTGTAAAGAGTGAAATAGAAAACAAGCTAAAAATGCGTGACTACCTGACGCCCAGTCTTCAGAAGCATGACACCATGGCTGTGGGGTTCCGCTACTCTGGAGTTCTGGGAGAATAACTACGATTGGAGGTTGTGCCAAGAGTTTTCATTTTAACAAAGAGAATACAAAGCAGAAGAGAGGACAATGGATGTAATACGTGAGGCAAGTCAAAATATTTGACATTGTTATTAAACATATTGTAAATGCAATGCAAAATGCAACACTAGGTGGAACTTTGTGAAATCTCAATGCTTTGAGCAAGTCCTAATTCCTAATATGTACACCCAACATTCAAATATCTCAACTCTAGTAAAAAGAACATTAAATTTACCTCTATTTTAATTATTTATCAGTTAACTTTGCTGAAATTTACTTTCACACTAATAATAACGGAAGTTGAATTATTTTCTCAATTTCAATTTCCTATCCATTTCCACTGCTGAGGGTCTCTCTTTCTCTTCCATCCCAAAACTGTGGCTCCAAGATTCTGCCTCTTCTTCTTCTAAACTTCACCCAGACCTTCAGTAAGGTCTCTCCACTTCTCCCTCAGCCACTATGTTCAAAACACTCTCTTTCTCCTCTCCTTCTACCTCCTAATCTAAACCAGAGCCCACCTGTGAGAGAAGCAACACAAAAGCCTCCCCATATCAAAAGGCCCCATGTGCAAGTACCTATCTTAAGGAAGTGTCATATTCCCTTCAAGGGAGTATCAGAAGACTATAAGGCATAGGAGCAGAAGTTAGTCATTCAGCCCATCCAGTCTACTCTGCCATTCAATGAGATCATGATTGATCAGATAATCCTCATCAGGTAACTGCACAGAGGCCAGTATCCCGTCACTAGGTCACCCTTTATTTACATGTGCACTTCAATGGGCTGTGACCAGCCAGCTCAAGGACAGTCCCTAGACTGGGGAGACATTCTGAATCTTTTTTTTTATTTTCTTCTTGTGACCAGCCAGATCAAAGCCAGATCTTAGACTGAGGAGACCTTCTGAATCTCCTGTTTTTTTTTAAATACATGCAACAGCAGCAGCAGCAGAACCAGGAGCACATGGTCACAATCAAGGTCTTTGTCCAGCAGGAAATCCACTCATGGTGCACTGGCTGTAGCCTGCCAGCTCAAAGCCAGTCCCTAGACTATGGAGACCTTCTGAATCTCTTGTTTATATCTGTCAGCCAGGGCTCCCTGATTGGCCCAAGTTAACAACCGCAATCAAGAATCTCATAGTTAATGAGATCTATCCGGCCCTGGTTCCAATCACTATACTTCAATTCCACTTTCCTGCCTTTCCCTATAACCCCTGATTCCTTACTGAATAGAAATTTGTCTGTCTTGACCTTGAATATGCTTAACAGAGCCCTACAGTTAAGGACTACCACAGGTTCAGTACTGTCTGAGAAAAGAAATTCCTCCTCAACTCTGTCTTAAATGGACGATCCCTTATTCTGAAATTATGCTGTCTGGTCCAAGGCTCTCCCACAAGGGGACACAACTGCTCTGCATCTGCAGCCTATGTTTAAGGTCACCTCTCATTCTTCTAAATTTTAATGAGTACAACCTACTCAATCTCTCTTGAATTGTTACTCCATATCTGGAATAAAACAACAAAATGCAAATCTGAAACAAAAACAGAAATTGCTGGAGAAACTCAGCAGGTATGGCAGCATCCATAAACAGAAAGCAGAGTTTCATGTCCAGTGACCCTTCTTCAGAACCAAAGAAGGGTCAGTGGATCCAAATCATTAACTCTGTTTTATCTCCATTTCTCCAGCAATTTCTGTTTTTGTTTCCTCCATACCTGGAATCAGCCTAGGTGAATCTTCTCTGTACTGCCTGCAATGCCAGTATATCGTTCCTTAGATAAGGGGACCAAAACTGTTCACAGTATTCCAGACGTGGTCTGACCAGTGTCAAGTATAGTTGTAGCAAGACTTCTATTCCCTTAAAAAAAGTCAACATTCCATTTGCCTTTCCAATTATCTGCTGACCCTGTATGCTAGTTTTTCATGGTTTGTGGGTAAAGGAGGTCCCAAATTCCACTGCAATGCAGCTTTCTGCAGTCTTTCTATTTTAAAATTATATGCTGTTTCTCTATTCTTTCTGCTAAATTGCATAATTCAGATCTTCCTAAATTATAGTCCATCTGCCAAGTTTTTGCCAATTGCTCAACCTGTCAATATCCCTCAGCAGTCCCCTTGTGTTAGCCTCACCACTTGCCCTTTCACCTATTTTTGTGTCATCTGCAAACTTGGCAATCGTACATTCATTCTCCTCATCCAAGTCACAAATAAATATTGTAAATAATTGCGACACCAGCACTAACCCTGTGGCGTTCCATTAGTTACAGATTACCATTCTGAAAATGTCCCCCCTTACCCCAACTCTCCACTTTGTATTAGTTAGCCAATCTTCCATCCATGCTAACATGGTTCCCTCAATTCTGTGGGTTCTTACAAAGCCGCCTCATATACGTCATTTAACTAATGATTATTAGTGTTCCTTTAGCCAGTCTATTGTGCTCACCATTAATTTCACATACACAAAACTATCTTTCACTCAACTTCGAAGGATCGTACAGCAACTGCACTTTCAAGACACATTCCAAACACTCTCCACCACTTCTCCTCACCTATCAACTTTCCACTTCATCCTTGACCCATCGAGTATTAGCATTTATCTCTCCTCTGTTACCCTTGAAACAATAACCATCATCCTTTACATACCTTCTCTTACTTCTGAGCCTATGCCTATTAACATCTCCATGTTCATCAAGACCCTGAATGCTTTCATTATCTGTGTCATCTAATTTATTTAATTCTGCCACTCTAGAGCTGAGAGGGCATCTGATAACAAACCATCACCCTGGACCTACCACCTTCAGCATTCCACTACCCTTCACTGTCACTGTTCCCTCCCTTGCCCAATGCTCTCAGTTCAACTCCCAGCACCAACTCCACTTTTTTGAACCAGCTCTCTCCAAATATTCATGCCTCAAGAACCAATCTCTCACCCAATGACTGATTTCAGCACCCCCATATGCTAGGGCCTCCTCCACATGCCCTACACCCTTGCGTTGATTCCCTACCCCAGAGTAGTCTGCTCCATGTCTCACTTTATGCCATGGGCAGTCCTGCCCATGCCCTTAGGTTGCAGTTTACTCTTTCTCTTCTAGCTCAGACAACCCTATCCTGTGCTTCTTAAAACTACAATCTGCCTGCTTCCTGCTACCCTCCCCAATTCTCCCTGTCCAAGGTGACCCTGTCCACTGCCACCCCATCGACTGCAGCATTTCTCACTCCCTAGGACAACCCTACTTAACTGCCTTTTGACTGTCATCACCTGATCACAGTCAACACTTGCCAAATAGGAAAGAACAGATGGGTTCTTCTGGGGCAGTGGTAGTACCTCTACCTCTAGGCCAGAAGGCCTGAGTTCAAGTCCTACTTGCTCCAGAGTTGTGTAGTAACATCTGAGCAGGTTGATCAGTAAAATATGCAGGAAAAGGCAGCTGCTACCAGTTATAATTATAACAGGTTGATTACCTTGCCTGCTGCACATCTCTTATTTACATCGATAAATCTGAAGGCATGTATTTCTTGCTACCAGATAATTGAAAAGATGCACTTAATTTTGTTTATTTTGCATTTAAATGAACATACATGACTTTTAGTTGCATGCAAAAGTACTTCGTGACTTGCTGTCAGAAAGTTCAAACTACCTTGAAATCTCCAAGAACCTAAGGCCAGAATCTCATTCCACCGTCATGAAACCATTCTTTGGACCCCTGCACAATTTGGTTCCCCCCTTGCCAAGTTTCCCACCTTGGGAGATGCGCCAAATTCCACCTTAATGTGGAAGCCACAAGGTATCACTTTCTTGAACAGGCCTACATTACATCACTCCCATTGGTTTTTATAACACCTCATCTAATTTTTAGCAGACAAACACAGATGTCCACATTAGGTACCAAGGACATATGAAATTTTTAAAGGCAGGATATTCCACAAACTTGCTTCTTAATCTGTTTTGTCACCTGGACTGGCACCGGAAGTCACTCCAGGAGGCTCTCAGCATCATTCTGTTAGCAGCTAATTTGTAACAGACTAGAAATAAATGAAAATTAGAATCCAGCTACAATTTAGGTGAAGCAATAGCAGAAAAATGTGTAAGTAGTAAAGAATATTTCAAGTGTAAGTTTCAGAACTGGGTATCGACTATTCCATTAATTTCAGCAAAATTAACATTCATGTGTAACATTAAAGTTATGCAGGCAACAGATGATCTCCTGTTGTTCTCTATGGGACAATTAGAAAACCATTAACATAGTGCTGGATGTCTGCTGGCTAGCTGCTCCTGCAGAGAAAGCAGCAAGTCATCTTGTGGATTGTCAATGAGAAGGTTGCTCCGATGGATTGTAACTGACCAACCACAATACCTGAATGGTCAGTGTAGCTGCACCAAACCAGCCCCTTCTCTCTCCCTCTCTCCCCCCCTCCCTTCCCCCACTATATTGAGGCAGCCCCTCTCCTTTTCTTCTCACAGCAAATGTGAGATAAAAAGAGCATACTGCCTGACTTGAGGACGCCTCTATACAATTAAGTATGGAATACATCTGATTCTGGTCCTGAAAAGAATTCTGCTCTCAATTTGGCTGCTTTTATATTGCTCCAAACTACCAGCTCCCAGTGAGAATATTGCCCAAGGTCTGTGGTGGCATCAAAGTAAATTTACTGGGATTAGATGCTCAGAGCAAATAATAGGTCGGAAAAACATGTCTGCCCTACCACTGACTCTATCGAAACTGGCGAATTTACTTTGGTGTTGTCCATGTGCTTCGAGGAGCTGGTGGCCTTCCCCTGGAACCAAGACAAGTCTAAAAACCAGCTTCTGATTTCTGTTCTGGAATTCTGGTATGCTGCTGTGCGTGATATTACATTTAAAAAATGTTAAACTAGCAAATGACATATTGATCTGACTTGTCTTATATACTTCAAAATGGGAGGTCCAGGAGGACCATTTTCAAGTATGACTTTTTTTAACAAGAGTTTCCTTTTAGGTAATCTCCTGCATTAATAAACTGCATTTTTGCCTCACTCCATTTAAGCCATTCAAATCTAGCAATATGAAGAGAATCTAGCCTGGTGAATCAGGCAATGAAGAAAAAATATCCAGCTACAGCACACAACTAACAAGATGGCAGCTTACCACAACCGCCTCAAAAGCAAAAGGGCATGGACAATAAATGCTGGACTCAGTTATCAGTTACATTATATTGCAAACAAATAAATCTTAAAAAGAACTACACACGAGTTACAAAAGGAACACTTCAAAATAGTTCATGATCAGATTCTAAGATTGTGGAAGAATGAAATAAATTAAAACCACAAGTTATTTTTCCAGTAATCTGAGTGACTAAGGTGCATTCTTCATTTTATTTTATATTTGAAATGTAGTATATTTGAAGGGTACTGCATGTGGATATCACTAACAGACATTACACTTCAGATGTCAGATTTTGTAAAGACATACAAAATAATCTTAAAATGTTGTGTTCTTCTAAGCTGCAACCTGAAACTGACAAGCACATTCCAAGGTGCTGAACTGCGTGACAGCAACTGAACTCTGTGTGGATCATAAACATCGGCAAAGACCGGCTGGGCCTGTTTCTATGCTGCACATTCTTTGCGACTTTTGAAACTAACCTGTCTATTCAACAAGAATCACAATTTATAGCATAATTAGACCCATGTTTATAAAAGAGTAAATTGTCCAACCTTCTCCAACATCACGTACGTTTTTTTTATAGAACTACAAAGTGCGTAAGAATTGAATTGTGCAGTGGTGGCACAGCGCCACATGATGGCTAGATTCAGGTTTTCCTTCCAAATCTGCACAAACTGAATTAGGCACTTCTAGATGCATCACAAGAGACTTCACATGAAAAGAGAGGAAGTGGGATTGGGTGCCCCTTCCACAACTTGCAGCCAACGGCTTCTGAGCAGTGTAGCACTAAACTGGTCACAGCGACTGAAGTAGCTGAGTTACATTTTTATCACCTGGAACTCTGTAGTTTGTATTATTTAGGGATTCCCTTTTGCAATTCCTTCCAGGTTTCCATAACATCAGGTTTCTGGCACAATTACATGTAAATTCAGGAAATGGTGGTGTCTGCAGTGACAATCTCACCTGAGTCAGAAGGTTGAGTGTTGGTGCCCCATATCAGGAGCCTGAGTACAAACATCAATACAGATTTTCCAAATCCACTATCAACTGAGTGCTGCACAACGAGATATCAAACTTAAGCCTCATCTACCTCAGACAAATGTAAAAGATCTTCTGTAACTATTTTGGAGAAGAGCTAGGGAACTCCCATTCCACCTTCAATCAACACAATGGAAACAGGTGATCTTGTTATTATAATGTTGCTCATTGTAGAGGCTTTGTTGCGTACCAACTGCACAGCACAGTCGCATTAACCCCATTCTCAATTTGCATGGCTCGGTGGACAGCATTTTTGCCTTAGGAAGAAGGCTGTCTCTTCAAGCACTGCTCCATAGAGTTGAGTTCATGACCCAAGCTGACTATCCCAAT